TTGCAAACCAGAAAAAAAGATCCAACCTCATTAAATAGAGAATAAATATTGTTTCAAAATGTGCATGGGAGATGCATTCACTCTCTCAACAGCAAATAACACTCCTGTGAGTCAAAGGAGCTACATTTTCCTCTCGAAGTCAGTTCAATAAACAAATAAGCCTTTTCTGGGACTGGATATTGTTCAAGGATTCCCACTCCCACATCAACCCAACCTAACAATTGCGGCACAGTTTGAATAGAATATTATATTCTGCTTCAAGTAATATGAGAAACATACATCATGCTCAAAATGTATCATCTTACACTTTCTCCAAAATGAATGTGTGTGTATATACAAACATATATACAGACATTAATCATAATAATAACTCCTGCACCACTGTTTCACCTTCTTGGTTCTTACATATGTATATATTTTTTTCCAACCAAAAAATATGACCCTGTGGCTTCAACTTTCAGCTTCTTAGTTCTTACTAAGTTTCAACTACCAAATCTTGTGTACTAGAAGAACATGAACTTGTGGATTCAACTTTCAGCTTCTAGTTAAAGCTAAGGCCGACCAACAAGCTACTGGAGGATTAGACATAGTGAAACTTACGATAATCAGTTGAATTATGATCCAATGAGTAGCTCATCTGCAATCAAGAACAAATTCAGTCTGGCAAACTTCTTCCCAAGTTTTCAAATTACAAAATCACGCAAAAACATTATTCACCCCAAGTGAAATTGAAACAAACGACCGTAACCAAGAACGAAAAAAAGAAAAACATTATCATCTTTGTCCGATTGATTACCTGAAAAGTTGTACGTTTAGGGACCTAACCCTTGGTGTTACCGTGCGCAGAAGCAAGATTCCTTCGCCGGGAATGGAAAGAAATCCGGAACGGAATGCCTGTGATGAGTAGTGAAGTTTTGAGCTTTAGGAATGGGGATGTCTATGGTTAGGGTTCTTGTTCCCGTACCTTCTCTCCTCCTTATTTACCTCTAATTTTTCGGGGTTTCGCCGATAATAAAAATCATACCAATCAACCATGGATTATGATTATCATATGTTATACGATACATTATCAATTCCTTGTATAACTTCCAATTTTAAACAATGGATTTTCAAAACTTATAGTTTCGATATAAAATTTTGTACTGATATATTTTTGAATATTTGTGAATTTTCGGACCAGTTTTTTAAAAATCGATTAATTTTCTAAGGGAGCGTTTGATTCGTTTGGAATATGATGTAATTGGAATATTGAATTTCATTGACCAAATTTGATTTCCTCGTTTGGTTCATTTTTTTCACGGAATAAATCTTCAAAATCCTACAAATTTCACAAATAAAAGAATTTAACATTTTTTAGCAACTGCATGATATTTTGATGGAATAAAATTCTCTATTTTCATAATATCAGATATGTACTTAACCCAAGATACTATAATCTCATAAAACTCAATATGATCATCGTCGACCACCTTCGACCACCGCCATCTGAACCACCGTCGTCCACCAACGATCTAAACCACCGCCATCTGAACCACCGTCGTCCACCAACGATCTGAACCACCACCGACCACCACCGATCTGAACCACCGCCGATCTAAACAACCGCCGACCACCACTAATTTGAACCACCATCGATCTGAACAACTATCGACCACTATTGATCTGAACCACCACCTATCACGCCCGATCTAATTCACCGTCTATCTGAACCACTACGAACCACCACTGATCTGAAGTACTGGCAAATACTACCGACCTGAATCACTATTGGCACCGCCGATCCGAATCACCATCGGCACTGTTGACCATCACCGATTTGAACAACCACCGATCTGAACCATCGTCGATCTGGACCACTACCGACTACCAGCAACTACCATCAATTTGAATCACCATTGACCACCAACGATTGAACAACCACCGATGTGAACCACTAACCATCAGAACCACCGCTGACCATCTCCATCTGAACCACCACAGACCACCATCGATCTGAACCACTACGAACCACCACTGATCTGAACCACCGTCACACCACCATTTATTTAGTAACGTCATTTGGCTTATGGTCATATTTGGGTTGTGTATTTATATTGTCTTACATATTAAAAAATTATTTTATTAAAGTGTTTTTAGTTTAAATAAAATTATTTTTTTCAAAAAAAAAAAGACATTTTGGTCATTTATCAATATTTCATTCCAATTACAAAGTTACATTTTGTGAACCACAAGGACATATTCCATTCAAATGTCTGTCAACCAAGCAGGTGGTCAAACCTGACAACATTTCGTTCTAATTTCTTCAAAGTCAATTTTCTTTAACAAGTTTCATTTCATACAAAAATATTATGTGAACCAAACGCCACCTAAGTGATTGTAAATGATATGGAGTCATCGTATGTAAACCTCCATGGTTGCAATAACCGTTAATAGCATCTGAATTTAAACTCAGGGAAGATTAAATTTTCTACCATACCCCTTTAAAGTTTAACAAAATGTCACAATCCATGTAGACGAGTAGTTGAAAAAACAAGACATTAATAGAAATTAATACGGTTCAATTATCTTCGAACATTTAGTTTTCTAACATTTCAAATTCACTTATATGTATTTCTTTATAAGCTTTTTCTAAATATCACACGGTTTAAGTATTCATGGTTATAAAAACACAATCATATGATTTTACAACATTCATCAAATTTAATGAAAAAAACATGATTGATAACGAACATCTTACGTGTATTTTAGATAATTCTTTTTCTTTTTCGAGTAATACTTGTTATATATTGCTTTGTATGTACAATTTTAAAAAATTACTGCTTGATTTATAGGTTGGAGTTCATGGTTTTCATGCTATAAATTTAAAATTGATGTCAATAATTAAACAGCAATTCAAACAATAATTTTATCTCAAAAATTAGCATGCTTTTGTTTTATGCATCGTAGTTGTGAAAATTCAACAAATATATATCACTCGTTTAATTGCATATCTCTTATATCAAATATGACTCATATGTCACTTTTTTACGGGTTAATTACCTAAAAATTCAAAGGAGAACTGATTATATTGTTCTTATTGCAGTTATAGTTAGAATATCACAGACTCACGGTGACAAACTCATTCTCACTCTGTTGGACTTGGTAAACAATACATCATCATGCGAATGAAAGTTCATGATCATACATACGGACAGTATTTCAACAAATATTACATATATAAGTCAAATATCATGATATATGAACAATCATGAGAAACTTTTACTAAAAAAAACTAAATAATAACAAATGTAACACATAAAATATAACACAAGACATGGATATATCGGTAGTAAAATCTTGTTGTTTTTATCGACAATACCTCTTACATGTTTATTATCGTTATGCTAAGAAGAATCCATCTCAATAATGCTAAACGTGTATCGTAATATATTCAAATTTAATTGGTCGAGTTCCCTATGGATGTTTTTTAAGCATTTATTGATGAGTCCCAATCGAGCACGTAAAATCTAAAACCTTTAAGCAAATGATAGTTTAAAATGTAGTAAATAAAAATGAAAATTTATAGAGTTTTGGGAATATTTGAAATTTTTCAAAATGATTTAGTTCTTAAACTATTTTTTTATTAAAAAAACTATTACGTTTTTTTCATTTTGAATGATTAAGCCTCTCAACTATTTTTTAAATAAAATCATTAAACGCTCACATTTTAAATGATTAAGACCCTAATTTTTTTAAAATAAATAAATCATCAAACTTTTAATAGTCAACTAATGTATTTCTCTTTTGGTTAAAATGATGTAAGTAACCGGTTTTTAAAAGCACGATAGAAATGACATTTTTCATTCAAATAAATAATTCAGAAACTTAATCATTAAAAATATTTTTTTTAATAGTTTTTCTATTCAAAAAAATAGTTTAAGAACTAAACCATTCAAAATGAAAAAGTTTGTTAGAATTTTTTGAGCATTTCCCTATATAAAAATGAAAATTTATATAGTTTTGGGGCTATTTGAAATTTTCCAGAAATTAATTAAATTAAAGTAGTGTGACCACCAACACACAAAACCTAAACCCTCAGGGATTAATTTTGAAATTTTCATAAAGCTGTTTAAAATGAAAGAATACGGTCGGCTGGGTCTAAACCGACCCATACCCACTGAATCGGCCCGAACGAAATAAACCTTAGCGCACCACGCTAAAATGAGCAGCCCAACTGATGATGGACCCTGCTGGTCCACCGGGCAAGACCCAACGCCATCCCCTAGCCAACCCAACCACCAACATCCTAGTCAATTATTCTTGGAGTCCGGCCCGAATTGGAATGACGCCTGGGCTGCAGATGAAACGAGACAACTCTACTAGAGTAGGCTTGATTCAAACTCGAGCACTACTCGAGTTTTCGGGTCAGGCTCGAGCCTGGGAAATGGCTATCTAGTCCAAGAGTAGTATATTGATACTCGAACTCGACTCGGATCATTACACCCCTACTTCAAACTTTTGCATCTCAGGTGATGATGACGATGGCAAAACAAAAAGAACGCCTCGAATCATATACTCCGATTATAAATTTAACGAAGAAACTCTCCAATTTTGAAATGCAAGTCTACCATCAACAAGATCTAAAGCAACTCAAAGATTCACCTCGGTCAAAAATAGAACTAAAACACAGGGACTCACAATCAAAAGCAAAGCCGTTTGACCAAAAAACCTAGCTAAATATCATCTCCAGCCATTCAGAGTTTCAAGGTGCAAGTACAATTCGTCCTGCAACTTGATCAAGGTCTCTTCGCCCATTAGAAGTTATCCTTCTGCCTCTGAAACATACATTAAGAAAAGGGAAAGATCAGTAAAATTTGTGCAGAAAAATGCTATAATGGCATCTTCAGAGTTGATGGTGTTACACAAACGACACCTTGAATGTTGTTGGTTGGTATTTGAGAACAAGAAGGAAATTTGTCATACGAAATGGTGCATGTTAATAGAAGATAAAGAAGCTCACCCCTTTGTGTCCATTTCGATAATTTTCATGGTTTCCAACTGTTGAAGAATGTGACGAACAAGACCGCCACTGCTTCTGCAAAAATGTGGCGGACTGCTTCCGTTTCTCTTATGCCCACCATAGATCCTCTGGAATGCACCAACACCAAGACCTCCCCTCAAGTATATTTTCCTAACAATGGAAGCTGAAAGTGCAGAATTCAGGCTTGATTTTTTCAATTATATTTCTCTATATAATTAGGGTTGAACCAAAAAAAACGGAGATCCCTTACCAGCTCTGATATAATACCAATCTGGGTCATAGGGAGCAAGTTCCTTGAAAGTGGCAGTCTTCACTATATCAGTCCATTCAGGAAGCTCCATCTATGCACAATACAGAAGCAAGAATTACTTCTAAATTTTGAACAGCATACAAAAGTCTTATGCAGTAAACTTGTATGATGTCTTGGTGTTATGATAATTTGACGTAAGTTCATATAATTGTTTCTCACCAAGTTTTAGCACAATGTGCCTCCAGGTTGTGAGTTCTGCAGATATTATAAACAGTGCATAATGCTAGATAGGTGCAAGCAACAGTTGACGTGATATGTACTACAAAGTGCATTCACTAAACCAAACAAACAATTTACGACCAGAACTAGCCATAGCAATCCCGACACAAAAATAAAAACCAGACTTAAAATCCCATTGGATCATGAATGAAAGTAATTCCAAAATATCCATATTTAAGCAAGATCACGCCCGGTTGACATTGGAAAAAGAAAACTTTCCTGTGGACAAACAGATACAAATAACTCGGCAAATATAATTGTCCGACTTACCAGGTAAAGTAAAGATGCTGATGATATTTAAAAGTCTGGCAGTACCATGAAGTTTCTACAATACAGTATTAGGATGTATCTACTGTGAGCCTCCATTTGAACACCAAACTATTTTGCAAAAGTTGCAGTATGATAATAATATCACATATCAGCACCACAATCCCAGGTATGTAAAACCATTAAAAAAAACAAGTGGATGTAGCCATAGATGATTATCACAAGAATTAATGTCCAAATAGAGACTACAGCAACTTAAAAGATCAACATGCCACCTTGATAAAGTAATAACTTCACACCAACTAACATCCTAGAATATAATATTCTCTTAATGTAACTATACCAAAAAATCACAACTAACAATCTAATTACTTGCCCATTCAAAATAAAGAACATTTTGATCAAATCAAAAGTGAACAGCCGTAGTTTATACAATCTATGATTCCAGAATTCCACTAATTGACTGCCTAAAGTGAATTTCGTTTGTGATATAGTTAGCATAGCATACATTTATCAATAAAGTATCCAGACCTCTATATAGATGCCAGTCTCTAGAGCTATGATTTATGGTGCATCCAATACGAAAACTAAAAACGAAAAGATTGAAATCAAATTTAATGCACATATTATAGCACCTAGCAAGGTAAACAGTCCACCATCGGTGTAAGTTAAACCACTGAACATTTCAATCAGAACTCAATCAAATGAACCCAGGGGGAATGTTTTACCTTGCCGGATCTTTTGAGGTGAGCGGCATAAGCCTTGACGAAATCATGAGGCGATACATCCTTCACAGTTCTCGCAGTCGCCATTGTCGTTGCAGCGATTGACGTTTTTTACAGCAAAAAGACGGCGATGAACCCTGTGCCGGAGATCACTAGCTAGGGTTTACCTCAACGTGTCGATGGACTGGATAGGTCTAATTTGAATGAATAACGATTAGCAATCCACATTTGGGCCGACATATATTGGTCTTATTTCTGAAAGTCCAAACGCTTAGGTCTATGGCCCAGAAATACCCCCTTGGCTTGGGCTGTAACATAAACTCAGGAAGCCAATAAAATAATTTAAAAACCATTAAGCCTGAAAATGAGTAATTTATATTATATTTTATTGCTGACACGTAAAATTTAAAAATGGTGGAAAACTTAAAAATAAGTTCGGATGTGTTTGGTTAGAAGTATTAGACAATAATCAATAAGAATGAAAATAAAAATGGTTTGGTTTTATATAATACTAGTTGTGTACCTGCACAATGCGACGGGAGCCATGAATTTTAACAATTTTGAAGTTCCACTAGTTTTATAAGATAAGATTTAACGATGATATATGTTACACTTGGTCTTTACATATTAATAAATTTGAATAAATAAGAGTTATGGTTCCAATTACAGACTATCGATGAAAAAAATTGGATGAAAGTTTAAAATCCAATATATTTAAACGACTTCACAAATGTATTTGATTTACACCAAGAGCAAAGAACTAAGAAACTTGAGTTTTAAAATAAACACTCAAAATCAATAAAGAAAACTACAAATTTGACATATCATAAGCCATGAAAAAGATAAAAAAAAAATGGGTTTTAGAATGAAATTTCAACTTTTTACCTATTTCTTGTTCAGAAACTCAGATTAAGGTTGAATTAATACATGTATATATATATTTCAAAAAAAAACCCAAGAACATATTAATTCAAAACATATTATACAATGCAATTTGGACAGCCTAACCCCAAAATATATAGTATATATAAATAAATAAATAACTATAAAAGTATAAATCGTAAATATTAAAAATATTTTTTCATAGTATATATAATATATAATAATATAATTAAGTAAAAAACTATTTAATATTAGACTAATTTCGAAGGTATTAACGAGACGATTATAATAGTGTAACCTGTTAAAATAAAAATGTATTTTTTAAACATGTTTTAATTGATATACGATTATGTATGTTAATTTGATAAAGATTTAAAATGGAACATTTAAAAGTAAATGACGTAAAGTAAATTAATTAATTAATTATAGGGGTATAAAGTGTAAATTTAAAATTATAATTTTAAAAAAATCTGTTGTGAGAGGGTGAATGTATGTGAGGAGATGAAGAAGTGAAAAAGTGAGTATAAAGGATATTTTGGTCATTTAGAATTTTAAGACTTTAAGACATTTGCTAAATTTGCTTAATAAGATAGTATAGAATAGATAATGGGTTCATTGATTCTTTCAGAAGCCCAAATTTTGATTTCCGGTTAAACTAGGGGTGACAAAAAATTACTCAACCCGCTAACTCAATCCCTATGCAACTTAAAACTAGAAGGTTGGGTTGAGATTTTCAATCCATTTAAATAAATGGGTCAATCCGTCTAACTCATTTAAATAAATGGGTTTGATTGAATTTTTCGAACCACTTAGAAACCGTTTTCAATTCATTTAAAATATTATATAATTATATTTTATTTTTAATATTATATCTAATATTTTAATTTTTAATTTTGTTTTATTTTTAATTAAAAATCTAACCGTCGTGAGATGAAAGTCCAAATTTCAATCGTCTCCGTTAATCATTATGAAACACTAAGAAAACCCTTTAGTCCATTACTCCATTATTGCCTCTAAAACTCAATCCAACTCTTCAAAAGAAAACAAATGATCAAAGTAATACCGATAGTGAACTTGGGGTTGGTGAAAGTGGAAGTCGAGTTACTTAAATTTTAAAATTTTCAATTTATTTTGAACAATATATTTGGTTGTGTTTGTGTTTTATTCAAAATTTGAACAGTTTATTTGTATTTGTGGTTGTGTTGTGTTTTATTTAAAAAAAAATTAATAGTCTGATCCTTTTTTATTTAAAATTTTATAAATAAATGGGTCAACCCAAGTTTAACCAATTTATTTTAACAGGTTGACTTAAGAAAATCATAAACAGGTCAATCCGTTGTCAGCTCATTTAGGTAACAGGTTGGGTTGATTGAGATTTTCAAACTGTTTAATAATGGGTTGAACTTGAACTCAACTCAATCTGACTCGTTATCACCCCTAGGTTAAACTGGGGGAATGTAAATTCATTTTTATTTTCATTCTCTGTCAGTTCATTTTTATTCTCATTTTCATGTTTCTGACTGAACCAAACACCCCTTCATGGTATTATCCATTTCAGTTGTTTCAAATTTTAAATTTTGATGAATCAATTTAAAGATAATTAAATATATTTTTGACAAATTTTAAGAATATGTTGCTATTTAACTTATTAATTTTGTCATTTATAAAAAGAACCCAATGATGATGTTATATTGGAACGGTGTCATTTTCTTTTATAATACTTGGTAAATTCATTTTTTATTATTTAGTATTAAAATAATCCGATTTTAAGAAATAAATATAAATTGCTATGATAAAATTGATTATAGTGTAGATGTAAAATCAAACAAGTTAATAATTTTGTTACAATTAATTATTTTATACCAATGTTCGATTTTTTAACATCACAAAACAACACGGTTGACAGTAATTGGACTTTTTTTCTCTTAAATTTGAATCATTTCCTCTTTATCGTCATCCTTGTGTTTAAGAATTGCACTTCTTGGTGGATGATTAGGTTGACCGACGAACTACATGGGAAAATGGACCAACTTGTCTAACTAGGACCTGCTCTCACTCAATTCATGTCTTCGAGGTATTTTTTAAGTATGTCATATTTATATACGACAAATAAACCCACACATCTTTCTCATCTTTTATGGGGTTTGGACCCCTAACCTTCTAGAAGGCTAAAGACTCACATGTCGCTAGGCCAAAGGCTCTTTGGTATATCCCCAAGGTAATTGATCTTGTGGAACGAATTTTATTATATATGGGGTAATGCTTATCTTTCAGTTGCAATGAGTGGAAACTATCTATACCCCAAAATTTTGTTTCGGTATTGGGAGTTGATAATCATGAATAAAAACTGTTTATTCTTAAGAACATAAAATTGTCATTTTGTTATTATTACTGTAATAACTCATGGAATGAGCAAATATATGCAGACCTGAATCCCATGTGTACATGAATTAGATACAACGTAGTTTGATTGGATTGAACACAACATGACTAATTGTCTATATAGCATTCCGTGAGACTGGTACATGATATGACATTTAAAAATGATCATATCATTTAAATGTCATATCATGTGTAAAGTAAAAATTATATCAGTGATTTAATCAATACGATTAATAATTAACAAACATTAATAAAATATGATTAAAATGGTAAATTGGTATTAAACAGTTTTTCATAAGTCATGAATGTTTAACTTATTAAAAACTGCTTATTACCGGTTTGACACCGGTATAAGTAGTTTTATTTTTTCTAATCCAAACACTAGCATTTAGCTTATCACTAGTGTCGGACTGAAATAAGTCAAATAAAATCTAAAATAAGCAATCCCAAACGCCTCCTAAATACTTTAACGTCATTTAACAATTGCTATTGCATATGATGAATTTTTTCATGTAATATAAACGTTTCAATAGGACTATTTACCACAATCATCCTCACAGATAATCGAATCTACATCATATTAGCATGCATGTGTATCTTTTGAAGTTTCATTATCGTCATTAAAAGAACTCGATTACACATTAGCACAAGCGGAAATGCTACTATGAAAAAATAATGATCAAGGCCTTAGACGGGCATGTTAAAAAGTACTATGTTACCAAGGGCAACCATGAATTTTGAAGGTTTTGTCCAGCAAATTAAATATGACATTTTTAACATACACACACATACTATTTTATAAATCACTATAAATGTATTCGTGCAATGCACATTGACATAAAAGCAGAACACATATGAAACTTTAATATGGAAGAGTAAACGCGTCATTTGAGTTTGACGACTTTTATTATGCCGTTATGCACAAAATCTTTATCAGAAACCAATACCAACCATCATTAAATGCACATATAACCTGTATAATCTCCTGGGAAATAACAGTCTTAAGCCCTTTTAACTCAAGAGCGCGAAATAACCCTCTAATAAACGATGACAGACTACGAGTTTGCAACATTTGTTAATTAACTGTTACAAAAGCAACAAGCGAGTGGTCTACGTTCCAAAAAAGGTAAAATGCATCATGCTTATGTTTCTCGGAGATAAAAGATGCAATTAATTCTAAACTACAATCCAACTAAATTATACCTTGATTTTTGCTTTCCATCTAAATGAAATCAAATACAAACTTACAAAAATAAAAAGCACCATCTTCTATTGTCATCGAGAGGGAAATACGTCACATACCTTCATAAAGAAAAAGCGAAGTGCCAATACAAATTTACTTAGACAAGTCAATGATGTTGTAGCAATCTAAATAGTGGCACTTGGTTTTTTATATGACGTAACTGGAATGAAATAGAACAAGTAAATGAAATCCAAAAATTGAAAAACCCTGATCTAACAAGATGAATGGCTCATCAACAACAAGACTATATGAATTACCAAAGAGTATTTGACCTATCAGTATCGTAGTCTCTAACCTCGTAAGAGATTAGAGGTGTTCAAACCTCACCAAATGTGAGGAGAGCGTGTGAGTTTATTTGTTGCATTTGCCGTATATAAATATTATATACTTAAAAAAATATATGAATCGATGATGGCAACTAACAACAATTATCAATGGAATTGAGACAACCAAAGATCTTGGATCTCGAGTAAAAAACAATTTTGATATTTTTATGTCTGATATGATGAAACATAAAGACTATAAACAAGAAAACGATTAATCGAAAGGGTTAAAAAGTCGATCAAAATAAGTAATTTTGTTGTTCTGTTTATGAAAAAAATATAAATGTAATTATTAATTAATAAAAAAATAAAAAAATCATTTATTAAATTTTTCGAAAATAAAATTCCCATATAAAGTTCACACACCTTGTTAAAATACCTCAAAACCCTAAACCCATTTCCACCTTTCCCAAAACCCTAGCCACACTTCACTCTTCATCACATTCCGGCGAGCTCCTTCGTCCACCGACGTCGACAAGAGCGACCATGTCAGAGGTTGAGCTCATCCGTTCTGATAAGAAGAAAAAGAAGAGCAAGTCGAAAGATACCGAGGCCGCCAATGAAATACCAGATAGTGCCACCGCAGCCGCCGATTACCTGATCAAGCCACAGAGCTTCACACCACCTATTGATACATCTGAATGGCCGATTCTTCTTAAGAACTACGACCGACTGAATGTACGAACGGGCCACTACACTCCTCTTCCATCCGGTTACTCCCCTCTGAAGCGCCCTCTGGCTGAATACATCAGGTATGGTGTTATTAACCTCGATAAACCTGCTAACCCTAGTTCCCATGAGGTTGTAGCTTGGATTAAACGGATCCTCCGGGTCGAGAAAACGGGCCACAGCGGTACGCTCGATCCGAAAGTCACTGGAAATTTAATTGTCTGCATTGATAGAGCCACACGTTTAGTTAAATCTCAACAGGGTGCTGGAAAAGAGTATGTTTGTGTAGCTCGTCTCCATTCTGCCGTGCCTGATGTTGCGAAAGTGGCTCGGGCACTGGAGACATTGACGGGGGCCGTTTTTCAAAGGCCTCCTTTGATTTCTGCTGTTAAGAGGCAGCTTCGAATTAGGACTATTTATGAGAGTAAGCTGTTGGAGTATGATGCTGAGAAGCATTTGGTTGTGTTTTGGATTTCTTGTGAGGCTGGTACCTATGTAAGGACTCTGTGTGTTCATTTGGGATTAATTTTAGGTGTTGGTGGGCATATGCAGGAGTTGAGGAGGGTTAGATCTGGGATTATGGGTGAGAAAGATAACATGATAACTATGCATGATGTTATGGATGCACAATGGGTTTATGATAATTACAGGGATGAGACGTATCTTAGACGGGTGATTATGCCATTGGAGGTGTTGTTAACTAGTTATAAGAGGTTAGTGGTGAAGGATTCTGCTGTTAATGCTATCTGTTATGGTGCTAAGTTGATGATTCCAGGGTTATTGAGGTTTGAAAATGATATCGAGAATGGAGAGGAAGTGGTGTTGATGACTACAAAGGGGGAGGCAATAGCTTTAGGTATAGCAGAGATGACTACTGCTGTGATGGCCACTTGTGATCATGGGGTTGTGGCGAAGATCAAGAGGGTGGTGATGGACCGAGATACTTACCCAAGGAAATGGGGGTTGGGTCCCACAGCTTCGATGAAGAAGAAGCTGATTACCGAAGGGAAGTTGAGCAAGCATGGAAAACCGAATGACAAAACTCCATCTGAGTGGATGAGGAATGTTGTTCTTCCTACAGGTGGGGATTCAATGGTTGCCAGTCTTGCTGCTGCTCCTGCAACCGAGCAAACTGTGGAAGTTACTGAGACTTTGAAAGTTATTGAGACTGTGAAAGTTGACAGTGAGAAGAAAAAGAAGAAGAAACACAAGGATAATGAAGATGGTGATGAAGGGCGTAAAAGGAAATTGGAAGATGCCGATGTTGCAGATACACCAATAGCTTCCAAGAAAAAGAAGGCTGGAACTGAAGCAGAAGAGACTCCTAAAGCGAAGGACAAGGATGGGGAAGAGGTGGAAGGTGATACTACAGAGAAGAAGAAGAAAAAGAAGAAGAAAGAGGGTGATGGAGCTGTTAGCAAGCATGAGAATGGAGATGATGATAAATCTGAAAAGAAGAAGAAGAAAAAGAAGAAGAAAGAGGGTGATGGAGCTGTTAGCAAGCATGAGAATGGAGATGATGATAAATCTGAAAAGAAGAAGAAGAAAAAGAAGGATAAAGATGCCGAAAATGGTGATGCCCCTTCTACTCCCTTAGCTGCTGCAAGTGATGATGATGCAAGCAAAAGCGAAAAGAAAAAGGAGAGGAAGAAAAAGAAGAAGAAGGATGCTGAAGAAGAGTAGATATAAGATGGCTGCAAGAATCCCAAATGGAACTTTGAAGCACTTGAACTCATTGCCTTTCATGAGATAGCCAATTTTTGGTATCCTTTGCCTATTAGAGTTGAATTCTGAGCTCTTTACCTGTTGTTTTTTCCCATTAATTGCTATGTATCTTTTAGATGTTTTTATGGATTTTGGTGGCATTAAACTTGAATTTTTCTGTGCCCTACAGTTTTGATATGTTGTAGGATCCTTGTTTCAAGGCATATTGGTGGTATGTTGATGTTACGTTGTTACTAAAATAACGATGTACAGAAGCTCTTATTTTCATATTTGTCGCTTGCTTTAGTTTTGAACAAAAGAAATTCTTGTTTACCATGTGATTGCACATTGCAAATTGAAATAAACTTAACTAAAACGCTGAGTACTATTTCATTAGAGCGATGACCTTAGTCGATTCTGTAATTTATAACTGTATATAATAGTTGATCAAACACCATTGCATCAAAAGATGAGCAGTGTGAACGTGTTTTCATTTGTCAAACATTTACTTGGTCTTATGTTGCGATTGCACGATGAATAACATCGACTTGGTCCCAATTTTTCCTTAGTACGTTGGTCATTTGACTAAAGTTCCTTTGAGTTAATGGAATCATAAAGGGGATGAGAGGTACCGTTTGGTGATTTTGTTTGTTTGGGAATGAGAGTTACAGACTATTCTGATTAGGTTGACCAATATAAAGACATTTGAACAATCTAACCTAGTAACTTTGTGCACTGTGTTGGTTTTTCTCGGAGTTATTTGGTTCTCAATTTTTTGAATTTAACAAGTACAATAACAAATCAAATAACTAAAACCAAATACAATTGTTCTTCCCACCGTTTGAAAGGTCAAACAAATAGAACCAATAGCAAGAATTTATCAAACATAAATTAAAGTTAAAGAATTGACATATCTTGGACCCAAAATTGCAACCAGAATAATTGCACCATATACACACCCAAAGTATACAAGTCTCTAATGACCAACAAACATCTTCTTATGCTGAGGGTTGTGAAACTTTGGCTCTTTGGGCAACGTTGGTTGCTTTTCTGACCTACAAAAACACAGATTTTAAACCATTTTATTCAACTTTTTATCCCCAAACAAACACGGCAAAGAACGGATTATCTTCTGGAAAAACGCTAAAGGAAGGTATAAGATACCTTTTTGGGATGAAAGGCTTGTCGAAATAGGGCATAGGTTGAGCCTTTGGCACGAGCACCTTCCTCAACCTCCTTAATTCTTCCTCTTCTGCTAACTACACAACAAGAGCAAGATAAGTAAGACATCGTTCAAAAAGACTGCATGACACCTACATCAATCATCTCCCGAGTTCTACCTTTTCTTGTCTTTCTCTTTCCAGTTTGAATTGCTCGATGAATGAGAGCTTTTCTTGCACCTGCCATATATATCAATCCAGCAAAACATCAGTCAGAAGGAAATGTAATTCATATCCTTAGCTGCAGGTTTTTGAGACGGTCAATAAAAGAAAGAAAATACCTGATTAAAAATGTAAGCACAAGTGGGAATACCTGATTGTCAAAGTCAGCACGCTCCACGGCTCTCGTGTTGCTATGTAGCACCACATCAACCGGCCGAGTACTCTCTTTAACCGGAGGTCTTGCCAAACACTGAAATTACTCGATCCAACAATCATCAACCATAATTCTTGTCAATGATACAATCTTGAATAATTTACTTCTAAAAAAGCTTTGATATATATCAAAGTGAGAACATGATGTTGTAAAAAAAGCTCACACCTGTGGTTCATCTGTTGTCCATGGGAGACCCTGGGCAACAGGAATCCTCTGCTTTTCCTGCTCAATCATCATCTCTTGTACTTTTCTCATGAACTCTTCTTGCTTGGATCTTCCTCTTTGCTGCATACAAGTAATATAGCAGTATAGTGAGTATGCAAAGTATACCCTTTAGAGAGAATAGCTATCCTAAGTTTCATATACTTGGGAATATCTTATTAAGTTATCATAATGCTGACCTCGGTTTTGAGCTTGAAGGGTTGTTGAGGAGTAGCCTTAAGCGTCCTTCTCTTCCCTCGGCTACCGCCAAAAGTTGCAGTGGATTCGGAACTCTACATGATTAACAACAAAATTGATGTTAAAACTGAATTTCCTAATCATCATAGAGAAAACATAGCATATTTTCAGTTTGGAGTAACCATAAGAGAATTGGCACATACACTTCTTCTGCTATGCCTCCCACCACCAGAGTTTCTGTTTGAAATGCTGAAGAATAACAAACCGTTCAGATCCAATTCTAAAGAACAGCAACAGAAATTAGTTAAGTTCAAGATTACCAACCTTCCGTGGCTGCTACCCGATGAACAAGAAGAAATTCGTGAATCCAATCCCAAGCTCTCGGGTGTTAGGAAAAGATCTGGAGAAGAAAATTCAGTCACAGGAGCCCTGGGTCTCAATCCAGGCAATTCCCATTTCAAAACCTTTCTTGTCTCCTCTTCAAGATCCTTATTCTGTTCTTCATTCTCGGTTTCGGTGTTCGATTTGGGTAACGTGAGAGCATTCTCAAATGCCTTCACAAGATGCATCACTCTTCCACATTTAGGAATGCTCTGTCTTGCTACTTCTAACAATTTATCCCTTCGCTTGACATGTGCACTAACTTTTTCATCATATGCCTCAACGATCTCACCTTCGCTTAATTTTCCTTCAAATTCGCTCATCAAATTAGGGTTTTCAGTCAGGGTTTTCTTCTGTTCCTCATCCTCATCTTCTTCAATTTCACTACGAGATGAACTAGGGTTTGCACTCACAATCTTAAAGAACTCATCTTGAGAAGCCCTAAGAGTCTCATAAGCAACACACAAACACTTTTTAGGGTTAACACTAGCTTTACACTTACAATTGACGGATGCTGGGGTTTTAGGTTTCCCTCCCTTCGAATTCTTCTTTGCCACTACAAATTTCCTCTCCCTAATCTTGTTCCTCGGAATCGGAGAAGGTGACGTAACTGGATTCGGTTTCTTCAACGACGACTTCTGACTTTTAGACGCCGATTTGAGTGCTGGAGACTTTAAAACCTTCGGATTAGGACTGTTTACATTAGGGTTGACATTCTCCGGCCGCTTCGACTTACGTGAGAGTTTTGACTTAGACGGTGTCAGTGTCACTGCTCCGGCGATATCCCCTTTCATTTCCATCATAAACGTTGCCGGAAAATGGGAAAGTGTTAGTTGCAGGGCGAGAAAGAAAGAAAGGCAAATGCTGGGGTTTGGTTGGCTGGACGATCACGAATGATCGGGACGAAGGAATATAAGAACAATATGAACGTTTGGAAGGGCGCTCTTTATAACGGCTAGTTTTCCTTAATTTGAGGTTTACTGATATGCTCGGATCTGATTAGCGGAAATCAGTCAGATGGATCAGGCCGAACCGGGTCGGTTTGGTCATTAATTGGATTTGATTGTAAAATCTGCTCGGTTGGTTTAATTCGGGTCAAAGCTAAAATTTATCAAACTAAAAAAATAGACATGTAAATTAATTAATACTGTATCAAAACCGATCATGATTTATCGAAGTTATGATTTTTATAGTAAATATTATGATATATTTATTTATATTATCGATACTATATTATAAAATATTTAATAAAAAAATTTAAAAACAATTTTTTATGTATAAAGTACTGTTTATTAATATATGTCACTTCAAACTCAAGATTACAAGTAGATTGTGCATAAGTACAACTTATTAAAGCTCAATATTTGAATTCGTGTAACTAACTGCAGATAAACATAATCAAATACAAGATAAACATTTCATTTTAAATATAAAAAATATAAAATATAATTATGATAATTTCTAACATAATATTTAATTATTATCTTTATAAAATGTTATATTATCAAATCAAAAATAAATTATTTCATTAATAAACTTAAATTAAATTATAATAATTTTTTTAAAGAAATTGCATAAAAATAAGAACTTTTAAATAGTTGATTTAGTATTAACATTGATATTATTTTTTTAAATTTTTATGATATCTTCAAATTTATATTTTATTCAAAAATAAAATCATTATTGTTTTTTTTAAACATATAAAATCGTATTATAACATCGACAAAAACAAAGAATAAAATAAAACATTAAAATTAAGATGTATTTTGCTGCATTGCGCAGGTACCCTTCTAGTACTATAAAACATTTGACAAAAAACTTTTAAAAACCATTTTTATGCATGAAGTATTGTTTATTGATGCATATTACTTAAAATTCAATATTACAAGTAAATTATGCGTAAATATAACTTATTAAAGCTTCATATTTGAATTCGTGTAACTAACTGCAGATAAACATAATCAAATAGATGATAAACATTTCATTTTAAATATAAAAAGTCTAAAATATAATTATGATAATTATTAAGTTCTAACATAATACTTGATTATTATCTTTATAAAAGAATATATTATTAAACAAAAAAAATTAGTTTCGTACTAATATCAATATTTTTTTTCAGTTTTTTATGATATATTTATATTTGTATTTTATTCAAAAATAAAAACATTATTGTTTTGTCAAAACCACATAAAACTGTACTATAACATCAACTGAAACAAAAAATAAAATAAAACGAAACATTAAAATCGAGATATATATCGCCGTATTGTGCGAGTACACTTCTAATTTATTACAAACCGAAATAGGACATTTGTAAGTTAGTTACTTTAACGAATCTTTAATTACGTAGTTATTTATAAATCGTAACAGACGTATTTTGTTTTTGTTTCTACATCGTGAATTACAAAATGTGAGATTGAAACATATATAAACTTTAAATAAAAGATAGTTAAATAATAATAAATGGTATTTACGATAATTAATCTTATCTAACATCACATACTTATGTAAGATGTTGATTAAGGGGCCGTTTACTAAATACCTACCTGATAAGTGTTTACCAATAAAATTTAACACTATTATATACTTACCGGGTAAGATTTTAGTCCACCAAAACGACATCGCATTCAACAATTTAACCAGTAAGTGCTTACCATGGTAAGAGTCGTCGCACTCACTTACCGGGTAAGACTATTGGTTCTTGTCTCACTCTTACCAGGTAAGATTTTTGGTCCATACCATATTCATCCAATGAGGTAATATGAATTAATAAGCACTTACCCGAGTAAGCGTTTGGTAAACGACCCCTAAGAACATCTCCAACAATAGGGCTGAAATAGATATTTTGAAGATTTATGACATATTTTTGCTTCAACATCTATGTTATAATGTATATTAAAATAGAGAAAAGAAGAAATAAAGCGTGAAAATCTCCAAATTTAAAAATTTATAAAAACTTATTATTTATAAGAGATAAATAATATTTAATTATTTTTTATCAATAAAAGACAAAGAAATTAAGTGTTTAAAAGAGTCAACATAATATTTTATTATATGTATTTAAATATTTAATAATATAGTTAATGATATAAATACTATAATAAAGTAGCTATTGTAGTAAAATCTAAGTAGAAACAAAAATCATTTTGTGACAACGGATGTTCAAATGTGGTGACTTCGAATTACCCGCAAAGCAGTTGGTCGTCTCGAGATTAGTCGGCTCGCATAGCGGGTTAAATACTAATGCTAATAAAAAAAAGGTAATTTATTAAGAGTTTGTAACTTTTGACATTTTATTTAAAAAAAAATATTATGATATAATTGTTGAAGATACTATTAAATGAATAGATGATACCAACTACTCTACTTTCTACCTCAAAAATAAAGTAATTTTTGTTGATGTTGTGTTTCAAAATAAAACTAATATTTCCCGTTATGCAAGCTGACTAATTACATGACGATCATCCATTTCATGCGTAGTCCAAATTTTTGAACCTCAGTTGTTCATTGGATTTGGACTTGTGACTTTCAGACATTTAAAATACAAACTCAAACCAATTTAACACTACTCGTGATTATTATCTATACTATTTTATAAAGCAAATTTAACAAAAGTCTTAAAGTCTTAAAATTCTAAATGACTAAAATACCCTTTATACTCACTTTTTCACTTTTTCACCACCTCCTCTCCTCACATACACTCACACTCTCATAATCGATTTTTTAAAAATTATAATTTTAAATTTACACTTTATACCCTTATAATTAATTAATTAATTTACTTTACGTCCTTTATTTTTAAATGTTTC